ATTAAAAAGTGAAATCACTTTCCCGCCATTTTTAAATTGTTTTTCTCTGCGCCAAAATGAGTGAATCTAACGAATACATTCTGAAGTTTTATTACAAAAAAGAAAAGAAAAATGAGACTCAAGCCGCAAAAAAAATGTTATGTTGATGGACCTGCATGCAATGCACAAATTTGAATTTTGATTTTAAATATGCAGGTTGCTCTGGCCACCTTCATATGGATAAAGAAATTTTTGAAAAACTGGAGCAAGATTAGTAGACGGCATATTAGTATACAGTTTTGAATCATTTGGAAAGGTCAGGCTCTACAAAAAAGATAGATATTTAGACTGCACGGATGTCGTAGTGGTTTAAGCGGTCACCTCACCGCTTCCCACTTCGTTGAGTGTTGTGGCTTCGATTCCCACATGGGACAACACTTTGTGTGATAGGTACATAAATTGTTGTTCTGATTCTGGGTGTTCTTTGAGTCCGTTTTATATATGTGTGTAAAGTCCCTCGCGATACTGTATAAATTCCTAGCGCAGGAGTTGTTTTCAGGAGAAGCTTACTGAAAAAACCTAATAAATAGTTTACTCATTTGTGATTCTCTATTAAAACGTAAAAAAATCGAACCATTTTGATCAACTACGACAAGAACTTGCGAAAAATATCATGGTCAAAGGGTAGTTAGGCTCCGTCGACTGAAGCGAATCATCAATATTGTGATGGTGTGTATGGCAGGATTGGAAGGGCATAGTTTGGCCATTCAGCTAAAATTTAGAGAGCTTGGTTGGGAAGTTGTAATAGATCCACTAATAATGCATGGTGTAATTTAGTCTTGACCTTGTCCTCTCAGATTTCCACCTGTTTCGGTATCTTCAGAATTCTTTGAGTAGTGTTAGGTTAACCTCAAAAGAGGTCTCAAGAATCCCAAAATCTCTACAGTAAAGGGATTGTGGCACATATATTTTTTTTTTCACGACTTTATATAATATGTTAATTAGATATCACTGATAGAATGTTGATCGTTTTGAAAGTTTTATTTCATTGACTAGTAGAACTTGAAGTGTTATTGTATAAACTTTAATACCCGGACATTTTAAAATATCTTCAGGACCCTTACAGCTCTATGTAGCATTTTACATTTTAAATTACGTAGAACCAGCGACCAGCTTATAATGCCAAATTGATCTATATATAAACATTAAGTATTAAAAAATATGATATGCTTTCGTTTTTGTTTGAAAAGGGGTAAAAATAATTTGCTTCACGTATTAATATTTAGATTTCCTCTCTACTCATATTCACACTTTGTAATGTACGTGTATACGACCCCTCGAAATTGTCTATAATGACCGTAATATAATAAATAGTAATTATCCTACAACTGTCAATCTTATCTTTATGAGTGACTTTTCCTTTATAATTGTTACAAAAATTAACGAGCCCTTTCCGTACGTCTTATACTAGCTTTCCGTAAAGCGGCAAATGACATTAAAGCTCTATTTAAAACTAATGTGTGTATCAGTATATAAATACCAATGGCCACATTTTATTTCCCAAACTCTGGGTTCGCTAAAGGTAGTTCATTCTCAGTCCCTATTTATATCTCCCAAACCCTAAACCCTTTGTATCGTACCGGCTGGTTGTAAGTCCACCCAACCGCTTGACGCGAATTCGTTACAAAATTATGTGAGGGTAGGTAAACACATTTTTTTCCTAAGCATTTCTTTTAATTTGTTTTCTAATTTTTTCTTCTATTTTGCTTATATATATTTTTTACTGAAATGTCTTTATGTGATTTATAATTTTTAAATATGCTCTTTGATTAGATGGTTTTATAGTCACAGTTCACAGTTATCTCAAACTTCCCTACTAATTTAACGTTTTTTTTTTCGCATATATAGGCTATTTTGTCCATGTATTTAAGTTTATTTTACATCGAGAATTGGTTCATCCTCCTAAATATCTGTATGGATTGATTAGCCATTTTTGATATTAAACGGATTTTAACAGAAACTGAACCCCTTATTTTTTATTATATTAGTAGGGGGCAAATCAATTTGTAGGACAAATTCTGAAAGATATATCCAAAGTTACATCAATGCAAAACACTTAGATTGAGGTGCCACTTTTATGTTCATATAACTTTAGAAGTATTATACTACAAAATCGAGGATCAATCCTACAATAAATTTAAATTTACTACTAAATAATAATATTAATTTCATAAAAATATGAAAAGTGGCTCCTCAATCTATACGGACATACCGTTTTTAACGTATTTGTTCTATTTTATGACTCTTCTTCTAAAATAATTATGATGACAAGGGACTATCGCTGACCATGGACACCTGTAAATAAACAGTCACAAGATCGTTGCCGAGCTTTGAGATGGAAATTCGCTCATTTCATAAAGGTATGAAGGTCGTATCGATCTGGAAATACCGTAGGCGACAATTTGTTCCACAGATTCGTTGGGTGGTGGAGTGCCAATTATCATCGTGATGGGAAAACTATTATACGAGTACGATTATTTCCTCAGAGTTCCGCACTCCCTGTAATACAAACAATAGAGAATGCAGAGTGGAGCTGTGTCTTTCTCATGCTCATTTTAAATATCATGGGAATCGACAATTTGAGTTGCTCTCAGTTGAATGTGGTTTAGAGAGAGGAGCTGGGACTGGGGGGCCTCTGCCTAGCTGATAAAAACAGTATTTCATATGCGGCTAAATCTGCGCCTTATAAAGTTATAGGTAGACAAGCTTCTTTGAGGCTAATCTGGTATCTCACCTTCAAAGTAACTGTGAACCTGGACTTCATTTGATATATATCTAAGGCAAGGATTCCAAGGCTGACTGTGGGATTAAGTTGAATGCTCTCAAATTCAAACGGTATCTTTTTGTTCTCGGGGTTAAATTGGAATATATTAATGAATGTTAGCCATTCTTATGAAAAATATCGTATTTATTTTAATAAACGTGAAAATTATTAGGTATTTGTTTTTCAGAATCTTGCTTATCCTTTGGATAGTAATTACAATTTCTGAATTTTCAAACATCGTAAGTATCATATTTCTATTCAGGTTCAAGAAAAAATTCAGGATAAATGTCTCAGTTTCGCAAAACAACTCTGAGAATCAGATTAATTTCGTAAGTGATATTTTCAGAAGGCACGGGTACTCAGATTTCGAGAGGCAAAGAATATGCTTCATATACTCGTAATAGTAGCGTTAGATTAAATTTCAGAAAGGTTTTAACACGCTCCAGAGAAACGTGGAATCGATTGCCTTTTTATACATACGAACCATATTTATTTTAACCGTAAAAGTTACATCGTAGAACTGTTTAAGTAGTAATCCCTCGTATTCACCACTTCATTATGTCGAGGTAAGTATTTTTTTTAGGATTACTATAGAGAACACGAATCTTGGTTAAATTTATTCGTATTTGTTGGGTTCCTAATTTTGTACTACTAATATTTTGCAGTAAAAATTCAAAGAAATTTTAAGTAAAGTATTTATTCAAACGTAATCATATATTATTCTTTGTAGATTACGAATCATATTTTCAACATAGCATATAACTTAAAAATAAATACTGTTAGCAACTGGCGTAACTTCTTTATCCAGTTAAGAATAATAATAAGGCCTTGATCTGTATGTTTGTCATCTGCTGAGCTTTACGCATAATAGCTACTTGAGTCTTCCAAGTTTTTCAAGCACTACAATGATGATTATAATCATGTTTCATGTTGAAATCTACACAATTCTAGACAGCAGTAGTAGCAGTAAACTATATTTTCTTAATTAAGTTTGATTTAGATGTAGAGATCATGCATAGTAAATATATGCCTGACAACCTGTAGGCAAGCGCTGTAGACGTATTGATTTATATTGACGATTTTACAACAGTGTGCTTATCTCACACCGCACAACAAATATTATATATTACATATAAATAAGTACGACGGCTCTGTCAACTCATTTAGCTAACGATAGAATTGTAGTGTCGGTTCGACCTTCACGCTGCGTCAGTCCATAGTCTCGCACTAAGTAGGTACTCACTCTTCAGACTGTTGTGATACATTATCCTTGTCCTTGTGTGCTTGCCCCGAACTGCAAGAGTTGCCCATCTCGTCGCCGGCTCAGCCGCGCCGCCCTTAACTTATCATCACCCGTGACACCCTCACTTCAACCACTACACACAGTTGCAACACGTACACACGCGTGGAGACCGCTTTATTTCTAATGTCATGTAATAATTTAACATTTCCCGGCGTCGCGATCGTTTCGGGCGGTAAACGCGAGCGTATGTGCGCGCGTACCGTCACGACGCGTGCTCGCCGCCGAATAATCGATGCGCGCTTTACCCCCGCGGCCCCTCTACGACCCGCCCGCCGCCCGCCCGCGCACGTCTCTCGCGCGCGCGCTCATTATCTACGCTTTTCACGACACATGCTGCGATGAGAGCTTTTCTGCCTGTAGGTACGATGGAGGATTTCTATCTCATTATTTTTCTATCCCATTTCAATATTTTAAGTAGGTTACTATCGATGACAGAGATAAAATGTTTTATAATGAATAGGAGCTCTATTTATCCTCAGATCGATCACAGCTAATTCAATTTTTACCGCCAACATATCAATAAATTTATAGTTTGGTCACTGAAGTTAATGACATCTTGGCGGGAGATCAAAAGATTAGTCACATCGCATTACTTGAACTCTTGTTTTCTAAAAATACACAAACTAAACATAATATCCTATAAAAAATAATAAATATTGCGGCTATAATTTAATATGAGAACACCATAGAGGTTTGAAAATAATGACTGACAACTGGCCGGTAATGTTCGCTGGAATCGATTTGAAAATTCAAAAATAAAATTGTATGTATGACGGTTGTTTCTGTCTTGCCCTACAACAAGTGCGCACAAGTACTACGAACTTCTCATATTTTCTATTATAATTTCTAATAATTGCGAGAATTATAATAAAACATTTTTCCGTCGCTGGCATCATGCCCAGGTGTTTCATAAACTCTGTGCGGCGCCTGAAGAGGAGTTTCATACAAGAATTTGGAGATTTTTCTTTTGAAAGTGAGTCACTTTGTTGGGTATGAATTATTTGGAATATTTTCGTGCGCTGTAACCCATGTGAATACTTTTTAGATTTGAATCGTACAGCATACCTCCACAATTCAAATTTCCCGTGTTCTGCTAAACTTTTTCATATTTTCTATTTAGTTTTTAACAAATCATAAAAATATTACTTACCAACTAAGTTGACAGTGTCGAAATGTCATTGCATTTTTTTTCAAGCGTAAAATGTTTAGTTGCCAAATTAACAAGTGAGGTTTTTGTGAAGAGGAACATACAAATTAATTAATTTCGAAATTTTGCCCCTTCGGCCTACTCAAAGTTTCTAGATGGACTCTTCTAGATGGCTTTGCTAATAAGCGTATTCTAAAACACGTGAATTATCAATACCTTTTCTCAAAGTGCTGTATGCACTTTTATTCTATTCAGATTTTATTTTACAAAATCTTACATAAGCTCTATGTTCATAAACCCTAAATAATGATTTGAAATTTCGAAACAATAGGTAATCCATTTTGTATTATATAACTAATTGATACAAGTGGGATATTTAGAAGGCTTTTTCTGATGACAAGTGACGATAAAAACAAAAATACTCTACATACATTCAACAATAAATGTGGAACGAAAACGGCTATATCACTACTTTTTTACCATAAAAGCCTGCCTTGGGCCCCCGTTCTCAGGGGAGCCCTCTAAGCAAAATCACAAAAAGGAAGTTTTTTTTATACCAACCGGGTACGTTCTTCACGTTGAGCAAATTAAAAACATACCAATACATGAATTTCTATTACAACATACAATAATAACAATTGGGCTGTTTTTCTCTTCTCTTTATTTATTCTTTTGTACCTATCTTTAATGGAGCCTAAAGATCTTTCGTAGCCAGAGGCCCGGGCTTATCCAAAAAAGGTTCGGTCCCAACTAACATACACCAAAAGACATTTGATTGTGTGAGTAATTAAAAAAAGTTTTGTCTCTTTCTGTGTCACTTTGTCATGTTAAACCAATTCACAGGTGAAATGAAACCTATGCGAGTACCGAAATTGAACGTGAAACGTCAAAAGAATCTATTGAAACCAGTCGAAACTGTATTTAACGATAAAGTTCCGATTTCTACCCGTTTCTATCTGCAATTATTGAAGAAAAGTCAGTTCTTACAACAGTTCATAGACACAGAGTCTTACGAATATGCATCGGAAACTGAAAAAGCTTTCATAAAATCTCCTGAAATAATAAAAAATAAAAATTCAATCAAAAAGGATTTAACAGATAAAACTTACAATTTGAGATCGAGTGAATCAAAAACTGAACGCAAAACATACGAGAAGCCACCTCGAAGGAAAAGAAGCAACGGGTGCGATAACGAAACACAATCCATTTCTGAACTTCTACAGGAAGCTAATAGGAAGCGGAAGCCGCGGAAAGAGCCTTTGGCGCCAATTATTGAAGAAATTAAAAGCAGGGAACCTTTGAAATTTAATAACAAAGGTAAATTTATCAATTATGATTTTGCTTTGCGCTGTGGTATTTACATACTAACTTGACATTAAGTACCTGGCCGATCCCAAATAAAGTCGAAAAAGGTGAATTAGATTATGATGAATGATGATTCCAATTTATTTATTTATTTATTTCTCGTTGTTGTATTCCAGGTAAATGTAAGTATAGATAGAATATGTTCATACTGTCATGACAGCGGTCTTAGCACTCGCTGAGAGAAATCTCAGTCCAGACAACTTACATACGGATTTTGCTCTAGTTCCGGGTAGTATGTAGTGTTCTATTTTAGGGTTAAGAATAGATAATTTAAAATAATTATTATTTACTTAACCGACACAATTATTAAATTATCATTCATAATACTTACATTCAAAATTAATATTGGTGCTAATTCTGTTGTTCGAAAACTCTCTAAACTAAACTAAAAATTTGTTTAGTTCTGTCAAACAACGTTTCCTATTCTGAAAACTTTTATAATTAATATTTTTTAGTGATTTTTAGTTTAGAGAGTTTTCGAACAACAGAATTAGCGCCATTGCCTAACTTTTTAGTGTATCTAATATTTTTAAACGGCTTAATGGCTTAGAGAGTGACTCGTCACCCAGGAATCATTTGTTACAGCAAATAATTGAGATTAACTCACACATATACTTGCAAATTAAAGTCTTTTCTCCCCAAGGTGGTTCCGAAATAGACAAGATAGCGGAGAAGCTAAAGAGTCTGGTGAAGGCGACCGCGGACGACAAACTGGATAAAGAGTTGCTGACCTGCACCGAGTCGTTCGATAAAGACAGCAGGGATGGAGATAGAGATGGGGATGAAAAAGATAATGGTGAATTTCACTTTACGTTATAAATTTGAGTTGGTCTCCGGGGTGAGGCAAACGCCCCACAGTACCCCCTCTGTAGCTGCGTCCTTGTTACCAACAACCCGCCGAAAGACTGTACAATATTTTTGTATATTGCATCACACATGTGATGGTTCTTTTCAGAATTGAAATATACAAAATATATGTGTTTTTACATTTCGAGGCAAATGGCAAATATTGTGATTCCAAAATTGAGGAAGGATAAGGTCTCTACGGGAGGAATTCCATATACCGTGTAATTTAAGAGAACACAAACTTCTGCCAAGGTACAAAAGATTAATTTTAAAAGGTGTTCGTTACATGTAGACGAAAGCTTTTCATGTTCTTCCAACTCCGAACACGCTAGATGGTCATAATTACCTGGTTGGTCTTAATTCAAACATAGACAGAAGCATTTTAAATGTCAAAGAAGTCAGTTAAAAACTTTTATTGCGAGTTTCAGGATCGATTATCATGAAGTAGTTGGAATTAATTTCGTGAAACGACGCTGGATATGTCGCCACAAATACCACCCTTAAAGTATGCAGGTACCTATTTGTTAATAACTAGTCAACATTAATCATGTACATTTTTCCTGTAGACCTCCCCGACCCTCACGAATGGGCAGAGCCGCGACGTATCACTAGAGCTACCCACACCTGCTCGTACTGCGGCAAGGGCTTCGACCGGCCCTGGGTACTGAAGGGACATCTGCGTCTGCACACTGGAGAGAGGCCCTTTCCTTGTCCCCATCCACACTGCGGCAGGACATTCGCTGATCGGTATTTAAAACTTTTAAATTATGCTATTGAATCATTCTTGGGATGGAATTTTTAACTTCAAAGCCTACTCAAGCCTTTGTTTAGACAAAGCTTCAAGCTTGCAGTAAGCTTCCAGTTTAGAAGTCAGTGCTGGCACCAAAGCCTCCTTCTCATTCCACTTAGACATAAAAATGTTGCATATTAAAAGGCTAGGTTAGCCTGAGCCAACTTTTAATCTTCTGTAGTTATTTTTATCCGAAAGTACTAAGCCTAAAAAACTCAGAAAAACTTCACACAAAGTAGGCACGTGCCTAGGTGCGCGCGGTTACAAAGGGGCGCGGCTGCAGAATTTTTTAACAAAGAAAAAATATATGCCTATTATAAAACTGTGTCAGTAAGTAGGTATGCACATTCTTACAATAACTTACAACAATATAAACAATTCCTAAATTCTTAGATGTTTAAGGTTTACGTAATTGCCACTACTTCGTTTTCTTTTTGTGATATCTACGAAGATTGATGCTTTCTAATGCGTGTACACCAAAATGCAGTTGCCGCAACTGCAGCTGTAATGGAGATTACAAGGTGTAGTAATAAACCAGGGTTGTCCTGTCATTGGCACTGTATGGTGCAACGTTGTGGGCGAAAGCTTTGATCTCCCAAAATAATTCGTGCCAGATCTTTTCCATTGGATTTAAAGGCGGAAATGAGTGGATAAATGTCGCTTGCCGAGCCACGAGTGGTCAACGTAGCGTCGGGTGCTCATTGCAGTGATCGGAGAGGATTTCTCGCTACCAGCCGTTACACAAACAGTCCTATCGGTCCGTCCGTACCGTACCGTTCCGGTCTACCGCGATTAGGCGACGTCCTCGTGTGGCGGACGTCTTCTAATTGAGAGTTATTGGTGCCCGCGCTTTTAAAGGGCAGGCACTAGGAGGTGCGAAGCCGTTATCTACCAAAGTGAAACCGGTCTTGGTCGGCGTGAACTGTTGTGCGGTGCTCCGCGGTGCCTTCTTGGATAGTGCGCCGTCACGTGCTACGCGGACGATACGTTCGTGATGGCGTGCGCGTACCGCACGCCGTGCTCCGGCGCCTGGGACTCGAGGTTTCTCTGGACAAATCTGAGGCCTTTTCCTTTGATAAGTCTCGCCCGGGCCCCCTGGGGATCCAGTCTCATAGTAGGAGGCACTCGCACCGACATCGAGCCCTCGATGAGGTATCTGCCAACCACGCCAGGCACGCCATTATAGCGGCGGTAAGACCCGTTATATGGAGGATTGGCTCGAGAGTAGACACGGAACCCTCTCATACCGGCTGATGCAGGAGATCACCTGTGTCTGATCCGCAAGGAACCAACCCAACGCCTGGGTGCTACCATTGCGTTGGCCAGAGCGTAGACACGGCGCTCCACACGCTGTAGTATGCCTGGCGTGGCGTTGGTAGAGCAGAGGCGTGGCCTTGTGATAGCCATCGGCTGCCACGGTATGGAGCGATGGCGAGTGTAACTCCGCCACCTCCATCTGTAAGCAAGTTATGCTTGAGAAAGAGAAGGTGAAGCTGGACCTGAAGAGGCTAAGAACTCTATCGGTTCGCCAGGCTCGGGAACGGGCCTGGTACTCAGGCGGCTGCACAAAAAAAAAGGAAAGGCTCGGATGTCTTAATATAAGCTGTTACCGAATCTCTCCTATTGCAGGCACAGTGTGCTGTTTAAACGCCCCATCGCAAACCCCGGTGTGGTGACAGCCCATGGGGGTTTTCACACGTAAAAATTAAAAGTTCTAGTGAAGAAATGACAACTAAAATTTGGAGAAATCACTATCAAAAATTTAGTAACGTCAGATAATCATTTAATATAATATAGTATGAGCGCTAAAGAGGCGCGGAGGGAGGGGGGGATCGCCGAAGAGATGCTTGCCTAGAGCGCTCTTGATACTTAATCCGCCTCTGCGAGGCTCCATTAGTTAATAGATTTTGGCAATCTGTCAAACTATCGGAATATTTCGATGCGATTAATAGACTATTATTTAAATGGTTGACCCGGTCACCGCTTACTTCCAGAATCGCTTGGCATCAGGGTCTGGGATACAGAACAAATGATCGTGCTAATCACCCATTATTTATACAGGGTGTGAAACGAACCCATGATCTCTAGCTCAGCAGTCACGATCACTGACTACTATGCCAATAATCCAGTCAAATGAAATAGCTAAACGTATTTCATTGTTGCATTCGCTTTATCTTAGCAATAAAAGACAATAACGGTTTTAACTCCTTCCTTGTCAGGTAACTTTTCAAATAATAAATCAACTCCTTGAAATCTGTAAGAGTTCTTCACTATTGTTAGGTCAAATCTCCGCGCTCATCAACGCACCCGCGGCCATCATTCGTGGCAGTGGCGCTGCGTGGCGTGCGACAAGGCGTTCAGCCAGCGACGCTACCTGGAGCGGCACAGGGACGACGCGTGTCGGAAGTACAAGTTAGTACCTTAATCTATTATATCTGACTACACTTTTCTTAGATCTAGGAGTATTAGTGGTCTAAGCAATATGGTTGCTACTTTCATCCTGCTCTATCATTCATCTTCTGGCTTATTCTCTTACTTGCCATCCTTTTTTTGCTTAACTCGACCTCAACACTTCTACTTTTCATCTTTCATTCAAACTTTCTCTGTTGATTCCTTTGGCATCATATGTCCATACTTCACTTCCACTTACATCTACTTTTCATCCATTGACTCGACAATCTAATGTATACATATAATATATATTATAGCAGAAATAGTGTGTATTGTAAGCTAGTCTTGTCTACCATTAAATAAAGCGTAGGTGGCACGAATTCCGCCATTCATATAAAAATTCGCCAATTCATCGAAAAATTATGTTAACAATTCTGGCCCAAACTCGTTATCTAGGAGTGTGTCAAGCGCTTTTGATTTCGTCATGATTAAAATAAATTCCTTTAATTTGAAAATACGGTTTATGTTGGCAACATTATTTTTTCTTTTTAGCTTTATTATTACTATACATTGATTAGTGTATATATATTCGATCCTCACCCAGGACAAATATTGTGTCATGAGCACGGTCATTTGTTCTGTGTCTAGGTGTAATTTATGTACAATATGTATGTATTTAAAAATATATGAGTTTATCAGAACTCTGGTTACCATAGCACAGACTCTGCCTAGTTTGGGATTAGACGGCCGTGTGTGAGAAGATATATTATTATTTATATATATACCACTATTTCCTCATGGTCATACTAGTTTGTCATATCAGTATGACTCCGGGTTATATATCCTTGTAGTCACACTAGCACTAGCTGCTTGGCACTGGTATTCTTTTAACCACTTGATTTCTATTGCAGATTACATACAAGAAACTCAACAAAATTCAACAACAGTGCGAAAGCTTTACTAAAGAGTGAGCTTACAGCGCCGGTGCCAATGTACGGCATAATTCGCCATAATGATGCCAAAGCTAATATAGAACCTCCCAGCGAATGCTGCGAGGGTCCCATAGACCTTTCTATAAGGAAGAGGACGGAAATAGAGAGCATCGATTAAGAGTGTAGCAATAAATGTAGGAATAAATTACTAGTTTGATTGAGCGGCAAAAAGTTTCAGACGTTGATGTACTTTTATTGAATTTTTATATCTCTTAAGCAAAAAATAAGACGAAGCATGGTCTCATTGCCTCTTGAGAACTTCGAATTTAATTAAGACTCATTAAACCTCCTTTCCAAGGAGAGGCCTATGTCCAGCAGTGGACTATTTAAGGCTGTTGATGATGATGAAAGACCGTTGCTTTAAACCTTGAATAGTTTTTTTAGCAATAATAGTTAGAATCGAAAAAGAATCGCATGATCGCCTTCACTTTGCTAGTCCGTCTAGATCAGGTCCTAGAGTTTCTAACATGGCAACTACACTTTTAACGCTACTTGGTCAAAAAAAAAAATCATGGCCCCCAGTTGCCTAACTAATAGGAACTGGTAATGGTGGCTCCATTTGACAGCAGCATCTCAAGAGAGGGACTTCTTTCTTGGAGCTTGGGTTAGTGTAGAATCTCGCTTCATTGGACCATGGTATCAGACTGACTAACCGGGTCAACCAAATACATATCATTTTACTACTGGTCGTCAGGACTATGCCCATTCATATCCCAAGTGGGTTCAGCAGATGGATCACCTAATGGTAACCGTGGACTACCGCCGCCCATAGACACCTACCACTTGGTCGCAAGTGCGTTACTCCCTCCTCTGTGTTCTCCTCCTCCCAAAAATAAGGCGAGCGGTATAGAGTAGCTCCGTGGCACGTTCATGGGCGGCGATGCTCACTTTCCATCAGGTGACCCGCCTGCCTCCCCTCTCTATAATAAAAAAAAGCGGAGGTTTGGGCTTCGGTAACCTCACTTACTTGTTAAAAACAAAAAGAAATAATTTTTAACACCGGTTTTCTGTGCGCTTTAACACCGGTCGAGCTAACCGTGGATGGAGAAGAGGCTAGAAAAAATTACAATACCCTTATTTTGGAAATAATTTATTTTTAGATACAATAGAATGATATAAATACAATTTGTACAGCTTTTTCTTCGAATCTGAAATAAATTCGCGACCTTTCAATATATTGTCGAGGCAAATTTATAAAGAACTGCAAAAACATGCTAAAGGCTTGTTAATCGCAGCAATGAAAAACATTTTCACATTGCAAATATATTAATTGTAAATTTTGATAGTAGGATACATGATATCTATTAATTATTGGTTATAGAAGTACCAAAATCATTTTGATGCACATTTCTGCTGCCTAAATAAAAGGTGCAAAATATTTCTGGCAATTTTTATGTCAAGTTTAACGTCAAAATATAATATTAATGGTTAATCCAATAACGTATTTCTGACTAAAATACAAACACAACATTCATAATTATTTGTATCTACGTATAGTAAAGCTTTTGCATTAGCTAGAAGATATTTTTAACAGTGCGTTGGTAACTTACATATTCAGTGCTATTATTTATTGGCACACATTAACATTTATAAATAATTTGGTGTTCAATGCTTTAAAAATCCCTTTGGCACTGTTTGCATTGTACGAGTATAATAGGGCATTACGGATGTTAAGTTGGTGGAGGTTGGTGTTACAGGTTGGACAGTAAAGTTGAAGTCGGTACTTTTACATAATAAACAAATTTAATGTATATTTGTGAGAAAAATATGAATAAATATAAACTTTCATAGACAATTTAGATAATTTAAGAAAAATACTTAATACCTAAAAAATTATATATATTTATAATATACTACTATATATAAATTATAATATACTGATATTTGATTATATAATTGCACATTTAATGTTAAAAGAAATATTTTAAACTAAATAAATGTTAATATGTAGCTGTTTATATTTTATTTACCAATGTTACCCTTGATGCTCTTTGGAGTGGTATCCACAATGACTAGTCACAATTTAGTTTTGCCCAATACTGCTCTTATATAATTAGTAATAAGGCGATTTAGGATAGTATCTCATAAACTATCTACAAACTTACAATTTTGATATTTTACAAAGAATTTAAGATTCAATATATACATTAAAACACATCGATATAATGTAAAAAAGATCACTAAACTTGCGGCCACAATAAAAGTAATTACGGCTTAGTTAAAAAAACAGTTTAAGAACAAGATTTGAATACATATATGACATATATAATATGTACACACAAACTATTTTCACTGCCTGTAATTTTGGTGATTGAAATAGTGAAAGTTTTTTGTCAAGGGACTACCACCAGTTATATTGACTCCTGTAACACAAGTCACAAATGCGTTGTCGTTTAAGTGACCCTTGCCAGATCATATAGGAGGGGGAGGGGGGTGATAATCTGGGGGGCAAAGGGGAGGTTGTCTCCGGTTTATCACTAACTCAGTGCAATGCAACAAGAGAATTAATTAACACCGGTTGCAAGTGAGGTCGTGGTATGCTGTCCATATTCTATTAGTCCGCATATCTTAATATCAGCTGTCCCCGGACGGACTATCTCAGGCGCGGAGTGGCACACCGTGTGGTTTTAGTCGGTTCGATTCCCACACACCTCCTCGCCGCAAAGCTAGTTGATATACGTGAAACGAGTGCAGTATTATCAAGAAACATTTAGAGGTTGTTCTTTGTCTGTTGGTCTCAGAATCAGTTTACATTGTGTCGATGTAAACAAAACATTAAGATATTGAATATGGCAGAGGTCGATCAAAAGTTTTTTAATGTTGTATATTACATACATAAATATATGTTGTTATGATTGGATAATTTCTATTATTAAGAAAGTCATTATAACATTATATGTAGTTATTTTGCACATAAAGCCTAAATTTCTTTCTTTTTCATTTTCTATCACCAATAATTTCGAAATTCAAAATGTAAACTGAAAGTTGATATTATTGTTTTAGAAAAAATAAATCGAAAATGTTTGAAATTAGAATTTAAAGTAGTGACAAATAATGAATATATTTTCAGACATCTGACACACAACGCCATCTAGTTTTAAACTAAGGAGAACTTGTACTATGAAAGCAAAAGTGACTGATAGAATACTTTTATACTTTTTTATCGTAAATACATACATATTATACGTAGAAAACACCCAAACTCCGAAACAAATGTTTGCAGCTCATATAAACCTTTTTTCCGACCCGGGAATCGAACCCGAGACCTCAGCACAGCAGTCGCATACGCTACCACTGCACCACAGAGGCAGACAATCAACACAAAAGTATTATTGACTTCAGCGTTTACAACATGGTGAATTGTAATAAACTTACCTTCTAGGTACTACTTCTTACGTACTTTACCTAAATTTGCCACCCTTAGGGCTAATATTTTTTACTGCAAATTTAAATGGGGCCTAGCAGGAACCATACCATTCCAAATCTGTAATAATACATATTATAATTGCGTAAATGTGTCTGTCTGTTACCTCTTCACGCTTACAACGTTGAACCGATTTACATGAAATTTGGTATAGAGACAGTTCGAATCCCGGGAAAGGACATAAAATGGTTTTTAACCCAAAAATCGTCCTTAAAGGGGGGAAAAGGGGGTGGAAGTGTTTAAAAACAATGAATTTGGCTATGGTCACTTACATAAATCATTTTCGAATATATTATACAAACATTTTTGGGTCAAATACAGTTTCCGCGTTTTTTTTTGCTAATGTTAACATAAATTAAATATTGATTAAACTCACAGCGTTGACTAGCGGTGACAGTGAGATAATTTAATGCTATCTAAAATATATTCTGACGTCTTTAACAAGTCACTAGTACCGTAAAACCGATTTCGTACGATTCCCTCCTTGCAAGATATATCAGTCCTCTTGTTATGGGCGAAGTGATTATTATAGTATTATGCGTAATAACCAAACCGTTTCAAAACCTGAATACAAGTAGTCACTTTCAGGTCGCTGGCTTATTTTTGTTGTAACGTTTACCTCGTAATTAAGGACATAACAACAAAAGTTTTATAAACTCACGCCATTATAAACCACTCTCATAATGTATTTTCAAAATTCAAATAAATTTTTTATTCATTTTAGATAATTACTAATTATAACTTTACTAAAGTTGCGTGTTTTAAATTTTAAATCTAAATAATAAAAGCCATCAGCAATTATTAGTAAGTCTTATATTAATAAGGATGAGTAAATTCGTATTATTCACACAACGTGATAAGTGACGAAGACTATACAAGCACTTTTATTTTCGAAGTCGATTTTACTTGTCATTATTCAAATTGCCCGGTTATTTTAAATAGATCACTGTTTAACCACTTTGTCCATCATATTTACATCAATAATATAAATACTATATTATTAATTGTACTTTGTATATTATTAATATATTTGATAACGTTATCAAAAAGTTTCAATCTTAGGGATCTGGTGCGATTGATAGAAACAGGTCTGGCTCGTACTAGTGTCTCATCAAAGTCGCAGACATTACAATGATTACGTCATAAGACTTAAGCTAAGCGACATCAAATGTACTAATTATTAAATTTAGAATATATACTTTTTTAAATTTATTTGTCGGCTACAATACGAGGTCTTTGTACAGATGAAATAAATCAATTTACTGAGTCTTTTCTACAGATTATCGTGAGTATTCTTTTAGTTCAGTCATACTCTTTATGTTTTAAACACTAAATATAAGTATATAAAAGCGAGTCTTAGGGTAGTCATATGTGATATGTAACATCTGATATCTGACCTACCATCTTACGGAAAACTCATTAGTCAAATCAAATAGTTCGCGTTTCCACGGACTTCCTGTTACATACACTCACGACAATCTGTGGCAGTAAGAAAACTGAGAGATGTTTCGGATCTATGTATGTATTCCCCTTTTATACTACCAATATGAATCCACCCCTAATAAGTAACAAGACGATTATAAAAAAAAGACCCTAGTTCGTGAAATGTTATTTTAGTTTTTATAATTTTCGGATACCCAGTGTCACTGTCACAGTTAAAACAAATCTAACGCCACTTCAAACGCCGAAATCAGAGCGTGACAAAGAATTATACATACAAACATACATAGACTCGAAAAACACAACCCTCTCCTTCTGAAGTCGGGTAAAAATACTAGTAGTCAGTGTTTACCCACGTAACTATTATCTTAGAAAAATTAATAAACTCAAAGTACAAACTGTATTGCAGCCGATATAATATTAATGAACTTATGTGCTATTCTAAGCAAACACATCACAAAGGCACCTCACTATCATTAAATGCACTTTTTATTGCAGATTATATATTTTTATGGGCAAAGACAAGGATAACAAATTGTTAAATGAATGAACGAATAAATATCTATTTAAATGTTAAGCATTTACATTTAGTCTGTGGTCGTTAAATGTTTCTGGACTTGAAGGCGATTGTTTTTATTGTTTTTTAAAGACTGGGTTTTCATTAAAAAAAAATGCTTTTAAAATTAACAGCTATGTGATGTAAATTGGACTTTATTAAAAAGAACACATAAAATGGTCTAAATTCTATATAATGGACTATCTAAAGAGATCTTATGCATTTTTATCCCATACCGAATGGAATCTTGAGATTTTTTATATTTTTTTAGAAAGGACAATAAGAATATAAATTGAATATATTTTACTTTTTATATTATACTAGCTGACCCGGCAAACGTTGTTTTGCCAAAAAAAATATTTAGGGATGGGTCACCCTTACCATTTAGGGGTATGAAAAATAGATGTTGGCCGATTCTCAGCACACAAAATTTCATGAGAATCGGTCAATCCGTTTCGGAGGAGTACGGGAACGAACATTGTGACACGAGAATTTTATATATAAGATTTATCCGTGTTTTTAAATATAATAGTTTTATATTTTAATTAGTATAATAAAAGAGTGATTACTCTCTCGACAGAGTGTCAGAAAATAATAATAAACGAACTTATACAGTATCAGATTATAACCCGTTTATGGGAATGTGGGTAATAATTTTTTGCACGTTGTCCCATTGTCTTATTTGGTTTTAGATAACCTCTTCTCTGTCATACTCTAATGGATATGTATTTCCACAGCAAAAGATTTTTATTAACTTGTACCACATATTAATACGCCTTTACATATTAAAAAAGCATATAAAAATGCTTTATTTACAAAAAAAAGAAATAGAAGCCAGCAATCTCGGTTTTGATTTTTTTATTACTAGTATTGGAATATAGCCGGATAGGTCATGTTTGTCAAAAGGGCTGATAAGAAGTTAATATATGGGAATGATGGCACATCAGTTTTGCACTTTATGTCGTATTTATAAGCTTGTTATTCAATTACCATAGCATCCACCATTTATTTCTAATTCTACAACTAATCAGTCTTCATTTAAAATATGAACACCTTGTCTAAACGGTTATCTAAAATTTAGTTGAAAAAGGACAATGGGACATTCCCATTAGTGGGAAAAATTATATCACCACTAAAAATAGTTTAAATTAGTCTATTGTTTATTATTACCAAGCTTTGCCCATAACAACAATATCAAACAACCGAGAATAAATAAAAGCGATCACGCACAACACCTATAGCCGATATAACAACAATATGTAAACGTTCATCACAAAAGATCTTAAGACAATTTTTATCTAGTCCTTATAACAATTTAATAAAGTACAAAATTGTGCGACATATATCGGAAAGGGTTCGACTTACCTCAGTCGACATTTACATTACTTAGATCTTATACTTCCAATTCGATATTTATTGACATAATACGTCAAAAGTATGTATTTCGCATATGCGCTCGATTTTCGTGTAAAATGTGGGTAGCTTTTAATATATATAAATACCACCATTAAAAAGGGAAACAATCTAATTAGACAAAAGGAATTATGAGAATATATAGTTCATTGGTAAACAATTTCTAAATGGAATTCTCTTTAACAGGTAAATTCAAACCTTAATTCTTCGAGATTGCTACAGTGCTTTCTTAATATCATCGAAAAAAAATGGTTCATTTTTCAAATCTAGAACATTTTCCAAAAATAGGAAGTTATAAATTTCAACATTTTTAAAATTAAAATGGCACTTAATTTCAGTTGATACTTTTGATTAGTCGTGTTCCTCATTCCCTGAAGGTCGTGCCTGATTTGGTACTCCTTCGTGGCTGTTTCCACTATGTTTCATTTTAATTATATATATTTTACTGTACTTTTACATGTAAAAAATATGAACAAATCAACAGAATATTATGCATATTGTAAAGTTAGCTAGTTATAACCAACTGCGAGCCAAACATGTTATATTTTGTACAAAATTAGTTGGAGCCAATTAGTATACAAAATATATGTTATTAGTATTTGTTAATAAAGACCATTTTCCTTTAAATTGAGTTGCATTTTATTAATGGATTGAATCTACTAGCCTGCTAGACATATAGACTTACAGGACTACAAACAAATGTTGGCGCAAAACCAAAAGTTTATAAAATGGCAGGATTTAACAGCTCACATACAAAAATTATTACCAGATAATATGAATCATAATTTAATAGATATAATATTAAAATTCATTAGAAATCATAATACGAAACTAAACATTTAAATATAATTACATTAAAAAACTAAATAAAATATTGACACAGACACTGACTACATGAAATAATTAGAAATTTTAAGTCATACATTTTTTACAAACAAAAATAGACTTTAAAAGAACCCAGACCTAAGATCTTTTTTAAATTGAAATGACACTCCGTCCATTGAGTATGCACTTGTAAAAAAATACTTAATGCCTTTTTTTATGTGAGTCATCGCCTGATTCGCGATTCAAAGAACTTAAATACCACAATTGGTACTAGGTTTAGTTTACTGAAATGTTGCAAGTTATAAAAACAATCATAGAAACGTAAGTTCAGATTGAGAAACGTTAAATTTTCTCTGAAAATAATCCGTCGGTAGCAAACTATGACGTCACAATTTGTTATTCGATACAAGGAGTTCTTTCAACGTCTAATAAATATCAACTTACTTGATGTTACAAATAAATACCGTACTTCCATTTATGTTGAGATTCCATTAAAGTAGCGTTTACTTAATGAAGATATTATTAACACGCGTGTTTATCTGGAACGCCCCCCTAATCCCGAACCTGACAAAGGCAGTTTATCTAGGAGCAAAGCGTCCTGCCGAGACGGCATCTGACGTTTACACGCAAGTTTAGGGACACCTGAATATTTTTAATAAATATGAACGCGTTTAAACCCAACGGACGAGGCGCCATTTTATCTAACAATTCGGGGCAGATCATACAATATTTTGTGCTAAAAACTTACACTACTGTATTTACACTTAGAGTGGCGGTGGCTCCCTTATCCCCTCGCTGTGTCGCACGCGGCCAGCCAATTCGAGGATAGCTTTGGCTTCAGGGTTAGTATCCAACACACTCACATCACGTTCATCCTGTAGTTAAAAAAGAGGTTTATAGTATTTATACTAATATTAAATGTTTATGTATATACAATGTATTAATTAGGCATTTATGAAATTAGCTTTATTTATACACCCACCACACACAGCTCTGCACCACCCAAAGGTCGACTATAAGAAAATGCCTATGGCATTAAGTATGCAATGTATTTCCAGGGAGTATTAAATAAATAAATACAAATAAGTCACATTGGAAATATACAGAAGTAATACAATATAAAGAATGTGAGTTTTGAAACTACTTTACGGATTTCGTCAATTAATACACTATTTTACATATATTATACAGTCATTTTATCTAAAAAAAACTATATCTACTCTTATAAATGCGAGAGTAACTTTACTGGCAAAGAGCTCTCTGTTTAATGATTTAACCGGTAAACTAATAATAATGATTTTTTTGAATAACGGTAGACGGAACCGTGGAGATAAATGTTTTTTATTTTATTTAACGCGAGTAACGTACCGAGTTAAGAAAAAAAAGTATTTTTTGATAGTTTTTAGTTGAGAATCCAGAAAACTGATAAGTCAAGTTTATTTAATATTTACACAGCAGAAAGCAAGTTTACCTAGAGGTAACATAAGCTATATTTTTATTAATATCAGTAAACTGAACAGAACAAACTGGGAAGCTAGAATACATTATTGAATTTAATTACAATACTTCAAAACTTGAACAGAAAATACGAACACATTTATATGAAATGTTTTATATGAAAGATGGCTTTATTGTTACAAATGTCGGTTAAAGTAAATAAAAATAATATTTGAAAGTTTTACCTACATAATAAAGTTGGCTAAAAAATGCGCTACAACACTTAATAGTTACTTTAGGTGTTTTAGCGCATTTTTTTCAAAAGGAACATTATTTTGTTGCTTTTTGCACATTCAATAAAGTTTTTTCGATTCATCCACAGCCTTTACTAGTCCATTGCTGGACATGGGCCTCTCCATTGAAAGGAGGGTTTGGCCTACTATACCACTATAATTTTTCGAATGATTCCCTTTTGAGTTAAATAAAACTGACAATTAATTACCGACCGTAGAGAGATGCGTTCGAACTACTTAATAGAAAATGAACCACAACTAACATATTATCACAGCCCTAGCTTAGTCAATGAAAGTAGTTCCACACTATCTGTCAGTGTCCCTGAAGCCAGCGCTGATCTGTCCCTTGCCCGAGGTCAACTGGAGGAACTGTCGCTCCGATCGGTGCGTGTCCAGTACACTGCTGCGGCTGCCTATGGACTCCAGCTGCGAGGGACGGAAAGGTTAGGATAGGTAAAGGAACGGGTAGAGGGTTCGGACTTTGCGGTAACGACCAGCTTGAGGTCCCTTAAACTCTCCACACACAATATCTTTTCAATTTTCAATCACAATCTTTATTTGCCAAAGTGTCTGATTAGCGTCAATGGCCTTACCCGATATTACGTGAGTGTGACCAAATTATACTTGACAATATTTCATTTGCCTCTACCTACCTTTTTGGGGTTAAGGCGTGAGTTTATGTATGTGTATGTTACACACATAAACTTAAGTTTTATACTCTTACGTACTGAGATGAGGTGTTTAGAGGAAATAGGTGGAAGGTCATAAGGGATCTCTCAAGAAAAGAAGGGATACTATACTAAACAACTTGACAATTTAAGGAGGAATAGAAGGCCATAATATCGATAGGATATAGGGATGTATGTATATACCCTGGAAAACAGACTATATTATGTTGGAGGTGGGTACTTACCGACTCCTTGACGCTGAGAGGCTTGTCTCCGACCCCCCACACCTCTAACGCGCGGATGTGGAAAGTAGGCTCCTTGCTGAGGCGCTTGTACCCGCGGTAAGTGCTACAGGACTCCGCCGACGAACCCTCGCCGAACGGGTCCGCGTTTACCCAGATACCGCCAAAGTTGAACTGGCCACCCATCAGCTGGCAACACAAAAATAGAGATTCACGTTATTGACGTTATTTTCATTAGAGTAAATAAAATTTAAAACCTGAGACACGTCCACCATAAGGAAGCAAAAATAGACGCTTTGAAATGTGGCGCTGTATGTACAGCAAAACAGCTAAAAGATCTAACATGTCTATTGTCCATTCTAGATCAAACTCATAATCACAACAGAGAATCCTGAGGTGTATTTGACATACAATCAGAAAGGGTCCAGACAACCTCGAAAAGATGAGGGGTAGAGGGAAAAAGATCACGAGGAAAGGCACTTCACCCCTGGTCGGATCAAATTAAGTTGTTCTTAGATCTACCAATCACAATTGTAATCCGATATCGATCTGATTAGAAAATAGGCAGAGCCCGTGTTATTGCAACCAGAGTGGTGATAAATATACTTATATATAACTAAAGACATATATACATTCTACTTAGTCAGAATAAATAATCGCCCCCACAAGGGGTAGTGCCCACCGGATTAGCAAGCTGAAGTGGCAGTGGGCTGGCCATATTAGCCGCAGAGCCGACGACCATGGGAGGGAAACGAGTCCTTGGGTGAAGATCGCGTATTGGCAAACGTAGTGGTACACCCAGAAATCCAGAAATTCCGTAACAAAAATAACCTAACACCTCCCACTCTGACCGGCACAGCGGTGATACTTTTTAGTTTTGCCATCTATCGATGAATAGCACCACTTTTTTTAAGGTAGGGTGTTCCTTTGACATGACAAAGGGGGTAGACTAGTTTATTTTTATTAATGTAATAACATCCACATACAATTCCCCCCCCCCCACCACCAAAAAATTTATAATTGCATTGAGGTCCCTTCAAAATACCTCCCCTTATTTCCCCTTCACTTTTTCATTTATCCCCCCTTTGATTTTCTCGGTACCTGGAGCACTTCGACTCTCATGTTTGGGTTTGTCTGAACCGGGAAAAGGAGACAAACAATCTGGCCCCTACAGTTTTTTTTTTTAAAGTATCGTAACATGTAACAACACTTCAGTCTGTTTTTCAAAAGAGGGGCGAGGGGGACGGGGGGGGATCTTCGATGGATGACTTCTTTTTTTATGATTGCATTGAGGTCCGCACAAAATACCTCCCCTCGGTTCCTGGAGCACTTGAACACCCCATGTTTGGGTTTGTCTGAACCGGGAAAAGGAGACGAACAATCTGGCCCATACAGATTTTTTAGCTGGTACCCGCGAGTTTGTTCGTGTGGAATTTGAAAACACTACCTTAGTGGGTTGGATTCCGTAGCCGGGCAAAAGTCTATAGGGTTTTCCTAAGATCATTATTTAATACTAGCTGGTACCCGCGACTTCGTTCGCGTGGAATTTGAAAACGCTGCCTTACTGGGTTCGATTCCCGGCCGGGCAAATTTCTATAGGGTTTGCCTGAGATAATTATTTAACACTAAGTTTATTAATACTAAGTTGATAAAAAATGCTATGCAATAGCTTTACCGCGGCAGTACCCGAGAGCCACGTCTTTTTTTTTTTTTTTTTCTACTTAACTAGTAATACCTTAAACAAGAAATAACGGCCATTTTTATAAATGAGTAGGTGATATCTGCATATGCACATGAAAACGTATTTCAACTTCATCCAGTGAAGACAAGCCACACTACGTAGTGATCCTACATCGCGCAATAGAAATTCTCGGCCTATTTACTTATACTTACCAAACCATTGGGGAGTGTCTTGGTGTTACTGTTCATATACTGGTAGTGATTGTTGTATGTAGTGGCGGGGTATATCCTCATCTTGGGAGCCACGGTGAACAGGAAGGAAGACTCAGTTCCATAGAAGGTGGCCCCGTACGCCCACGCCTGGTCTGCGTAACCACCGAATATGTAGCCTGCGTTGTCTTGGATGATTATTACTGTAGCGCCTTGTTCTATTATGCGACCTAGGATTTAAAAAAGAAATTGTGTTGGTATATGTAAGTTTTAGGAGAGCGTGTTTCGGTCCATGTGCTGACAATAACATCCCCCCCCCCCTCCTAATTCTGTTGTCTCTTAGAGTGGCATGTATCCATTGACGGCGGTAATACTTCTTCGTCTGCTTGTTTGAGTAATTAAGGGCTGAAAGCATAACAAACATACAATCACACAAACCCATTTATAATATTAAATAGGACTAACCAGCCATGGTAGAGAATGACTCTCCGTGTATATGCGAAGAGAAGAGGAACCGCCACTTGTGCTGGTGCTTCTTCGGTAGGTGAACGTTCAGCCACACAATGTGGGAAAGGTCGATGAACGCTGGGTAGTCCGGCATCGCCTCCAAACCTGACAAACACACGGGCGAGTTTAACTTCACATTCTTAAAATACTATAAAATTACGAACTTTCATACAGCCTTTCAAATTTCATATTGCCCCCTTGGGAGAGAAATCTCCAAAAATCCTTTCTTAGTGGGAGCTTACAATATATAAAGCATCGACTGCCAAAATTTTAAGTTTGTAGCAATCATTCAGGGCAAGTAATTCCGGATATGTGCGGGAAAAACAAACACCTTTATAAATGGGTATCCGTTACTTTTTTAGCGAATCTTTCTTTTTATCTTGACCGGATCTTTGACAGTATTAAATATTTTTTTTGGTTTAAATTTATATAAAATAAGTTTCTGAAATCCCTTGTTAATTTTAACAATTTTAAATACTTATATATAAAAATAACTACTTAGCGAGTTACTCATATTATTAACAATTAAAAGGCAACATATTAGATCCTATACACATTTAATCACACAAACTCCGAAACAAACATTTGCAGATCATACAAACATTTAGTCTGAACCGGGAATCGAACCCGAGATCTCAGCACAGCAGTCGCATACGCTACCACTGCACCACCGAGGCAGACGTATCTATACTAATATTATAAAGCTGAAGAGTTTTTTTGTTTGAACGCGCTAATCTCAGGAACTACTGGTCCGATTTGAAAAATTCTTTCAGTGTTAGATAGCCCATTTATCGAGGAAGGCTATAGGCTATATATCATTACGCTAAGACCAATAGGAGCGGAGCACCAATGAAGAATGTTTCAAAAACGGAGAAAATTTATTACTATTGAGAGACGCAGACGAAGTTGCGCGGGTCAGCTAGTATAATATATAGTATTATTTTGTATTCATATCTGTGTATTTTTATCGAGTATCTTGCCTTTGCCTTTGCCGTGTGGTGACGGATTAAGAATACAAATTGTCACCACCCCAATTCATCCCGTGGGTGTCGTAAGAGCCGACTAAGGGAGCAAACTAAGCAGGACAACAGCACTGCAAAGAGAAGGAAAACTTGAAACAAACCCTATACCAACCCGTCTGGCCAGCGTGGTATAGTAGGCCAAAACCTCCTTTCTAAGGAGAGGCCTATGTCCAGCAGTGGACTAGTATAGGCTGTTGATGATGATGATGAGGATATAAAAAAAGAATGTTTGGTTTTTGTTTGTTTTGACGGGGAAGTCGTGGGTTCGATTCCCACCCATGACAAATAATTATTATTATTTAGTACCATAAAGATATGGTTATTAGTTACACTGGTTACCATAGTACAGGCTCTGCTTGGTTTGTGATCTGATCTAGTCAATGTTACCGACCTTCTGGGACTGGTAATAAAGAAGGCACTGCGTGAAGGGGTGTGTTATCTTCGATTTTCTTCTGTGCTCCGTACAAATTGACGAACACCATTTCTGTCATTTGCTTCAGTAGAATATTCGTATTAATCCTGAAACAGTCGCAATTAAGGAAAATATTAAAGTTGACCGAAATTATTCCTATAGTTCATTCACGTTAAGAAAATAGAGGCACATCGATCGAGCCCCCTGACCAATCAGGTTTCAAGAAATTATCGTTTCGTACGAAACCTTGAAATCTGATTAGTCAGGCTGAGGGGCTTGAACGATGAGTCACTATTGCGTCACAATGTTTTAACGCGAACGGACTATGGTTTCTGTGTGTATGTATAGTGCAACAGTTAAAGGTGGTTTTACACTGGCAAGGCGAGGCGTCGATTGGCCGAGCGAGAATACAAATTTGTTGGGGAAATTTCTATCCACGCCCTGCCCATCTTTAGTATAAAAGGGCGCGAAAATGTGCGAGGCGAGAATTGAAATATTTCTTAATACAGTTTTGAACTTTATTGCTCTAAGAATATTTTTTTACTTTGTAAAACAGATACACAAATCTCGTACCAGCCATCGAGGACCCGCACGGTCTCTCTGTCCAGCGATGTCACGCGCCGGCTCGCTCTGACCATTGCGAGACATCTCTGTATACTATATACTCCAGCTCCCAGTGCTACTTACATGTTTTTATTACTAAATTACTTCTGCATAAACTGTGGAGGTACGGGTGTCATGTCCCTCCTACACAAAGGCAGGATCCTCCGAAGAGGCGAGGTGATTATGCCTGGCGGGCCGCAGCCCAACGGTCGATGTTGGGAAGTCCTATATATGCCAATCGGCGAGAGAATTATTTATATTGCGATAGTGGATCAGCAGTTACTTCGTAGTTCGGTGTTTCTTCGTTAGATGGCGCTGTCGTATGTTTTTCGTATCTTTATATGGAATTCGCCAAACCAATTTAGACAACATTTTGTATTTAAAAAAGGGATTTTCTGAGATACATAAAATATTATTTTTACAAGAACTGCTCGTTTAAAGACGTTCGTGGCTGTTCAACTAACATACTTATAAGAAAAGTGATTATGTGAAATGTATATAAATAGTGAAAGTAACGTACCATCTGTAGATTTGGTCTGAATTACATGTATTGGGAGGTGGGTCCACGTCACCCCCCACGGCAGCTGCCACAGCCTCGCCTAGCGCCTGCACATGTGACGGTTTGCCTCTGAACCCTTTGTTGATCCACTTCTGGGCACGCTTTGAGGTTGAACTCTTCAACACTTTTAAGTAGGTTGATGCTAAGGCTTCGCAGTACTGTAATATAACACCAAGAACTTTAATTTGTCCACTTCCAGGTGAACTATTTACTTCGAATTAAAACTGATTAGATCACACCGTACTATATCAAAAAGGCCTGTGTCAAAAACTTTCCAGGTCCAAGGTCCATGGCAAGTAGGTAAAACTGACACGGCTGATGTTATGAGTTATGAGTGTTCGTAGGTACTGCTTTATACTGACAGTGTGCCAATTATCAGGCATTTTAATAGTATAAAAATACTCTTGAAAGCCTTGGTCTTCAAACTGAATTTAGTTACCATATTAAGTTAAGTTAATTAATAAATATAATGAGGGATTAGCTTCATATAAATTAAACATGCTCTACTAAAGACCATAGTTTTCTGTAGTTCTATTGATCAGGTAAAAAGTATTGGTTGCCTACCTCTCTAAGTAGTTGATAAGGCAACTCGCTACTACTGTTATAATCCATTCCTAAGCTGTTGTAGATCGTTGTCACACGTTCTTCTGGACTGCCTTTAAAAAAGAAGAATAATAAATCCCGAATAATTCTTTCTTCTCAGTTTTATTTTTTTAGAATTAGGTTACGATGCCCGACGCGCATTTGACAGAATATAAATAACTCTTAAAAAAGTATGATCATCTTCAATGAATTGTTATAAACTCTATTCTTCATTCCATAATTTACACCCTTAGCGGTTTTTTTTTCTTCAAATTTTAATGAAACCAAACGGGCAAATAGCCTCCCAAATAAACAACGTTTTTTCTTAAAATCAGTTCATAATTGACGGAGTTCCATATAAGAATAATTTCAAAAATATATAATCAAATTGTGAACCTTTTCTTTTTTAAATTATAACTAAGCCTTTATAAAAAACCGTATAAAAACTGTTCTAAAATTAACAAAAAAAATACTGTCAAATTATACCTCTGTTAATTTTAAAAATAAACTTACCTCGATTATTGTAGACGTACAACTCTGCGAATCTTTGGAAGTCACATTGTTGAGCCTTCTGGGCGCCGTACCCGAACAGGAAGTTGGACAAGAACTGCGCTAAACGTGGGTCTATGTAAGGACCCCAGTATCTCTGGAATTGTACAAAATATAATTAAGACATAAAGAACTGATTAGAATGTTATTAGGAAGTCCTATTTCAGTCCTGGCTTTTATACATACAAGAAACCGTATTCAGATAACTATCTATTAAATCTTAATATCTTATAATTAATATTCTTATAATTAAACCAAGAACGTTAGTTAATGGGGTATTCTCCGACTTGTTTCAGACAACCGAAACCGCTTTAAGATCTCTCGCACTTGAAAAAGTGGTCCCATGTGGTCCAAAACTAATTGGGCATCAACAACACACACACACATGGGCAAACATATACCTTTAATGAACCCGTAGATGTAGGTGTTCTTTTAATACTATAGGCGGGCAAACGAGCAGACGGCTGATGTTAAGTGACTACCGCTATCCATGGAGTTGGCAACTTTAGCCTTTGAGTCCCCACCCCCTGAATCAGGTGGAAGATTTGGTATCCGGTTATCATTCACTTGGTGAAAAGCATGGCTCTTCCATGGTAAATGTCCCTAAATGTTGATCAATAAAGCCATGAAATGATTAGCTAAAAAACAAAACTACTCGCGCCATCTGTTGACTACGTTTGTGTCATTTAGACCGTGATCGACGAACCGAACTCTTTACCAATCGCAACACCGAACACGATCGTCGTGACGATCGAGTTGATCTAAAATAAACTCACATCCCTTTGTTATCAAATAAGGCCTCTGTAAGTTTATTGGTAAATCACACCTAACAAAATTCACGTGATGTGTCAAATTAAACCCTAACAGAACCAATAAACAGTTATTTGTATTTTACTCTGCTTTAATATCTATGATATAGCGTAATGGAAAAGGTTGATTATAGATTAAACCTTGTCCAAAAAGTGTAAATAAAGGACTTTTGTAGGGATTTAACATTAGGGATTATTATTAGCGATTATCGTTTATTATTAGGGATTTATTTATATCCAATGTCACACTTCCCATGGACCCTGAAAACATCCTACCGAAACAGTTTAAACCGAATTGGTAATATTATAATTATCGTACTTAGATACCGCTAGGTAATTTTTTTATACAAATCTTTTGTATGCAACTCTGTAAACAAAACCTGGTACAATTTGAAATCGTATCATAAATTGCGATCTTTTCCTGACAGTCTATAACATCCCAAGATATTTAGGGTCAAAATAGCTTTAAAAATATAAAATGTTTTAATAACAACAAGGCCTTGAAACGAAATCCAATAACTCAACAAAATTGTGCATTCTGCAATTTTGTTCCGTGCACACCTCATTAACCGTATGCTATTTCTGTTACCAAAACAAAGATTTACAACTGGAGAATAACCATTAACATCTGTTTGTATGTCGAAACGCATTATGCATATTCGGTGCATTATTATTTCATTACTTCACAAACTAAAAATCTGTGAAACCAATTAGTTTTGATCCCCTATTTAAGAGTATGCCAGTACTAAAATATTCTAATTCTGCAATTTACCGTGAACCTGAATATTTTGGATTTCCTGCAGAAATATAATTAATCATTTATAACATCAAATACTCAAGTCTCCGAGCCTTACAAGCGTTGAAACATCAAACTTCTAAAGCAATACTATAAAAAGATAAGGTTTTTAATACATACATACAGTAAAGCCCATAGAACCAAGGGGTAAGTAGAGATGTTATAAAAGTCCACATTTTGACGACTATAAATATAATTGCACTTACGGTATTGAGGCAAGCCTATTACGAACAACCAGGTACTTTTGAAACTAGATGGGAAAATTTTGAGTTCGATATGGAAAAGATGTTAAGATGTGAAGGCAAGGTAGGAAAAGATATCGGTTATACGAGTGTATTGGAAAATATGTAGTTTTTACCCAATATGAATAATTTTGAGGTAATGTAAATCAAAACCTGTATATTATTATTACTCATTGACCTAGTATCATATAACTCAAGTAAAGGAAAAAAATCAAACCTTTTAATTTCGTGTTATCGCACTTGAAAAAAATATTAAGTTATATTTTGCGATTGGAAATTTCACTGTAAACTACATAAAAGTATCGGGATGCATTTTTAGAACTCCAAAAAATTGTTGGCTTTTTGTGTTATTGATAATGACCGGGAAGTAAAGAAAATGAAGAATCATCTGTTTGTTTCACTTAATTCTTACATAATAAGTAGCAAACATAACAAATAGAGAACCCACATATTATTTGTGTTATATATGATATGATATTGTATTATTTGTGTTACGTGTACCAAGTTGTTAAAAGAATGACTAATATTTTAGTAGGAAGTATCATTGTTGTACTTTAAAAACTCTAGGTTTCAAACTAAGTCGATAAGCGTGCAGTAATTTGGCTATAAAGGGTATGAATGAGGTTTCAGTTCATTTTAGAAAAGGGGTATCTTGACCAAAATAGTTTGTCGTAGAGGATGCGCTACTACTGAAAATAACGAAGTTTCATTTTAATTTCCAAACCCCATTTTGAACCCTTAGGGTAGGCATTTTTAAAATCCTTTCTTAGTGCACACCAAAGGAACGTTAATGCAAAATAAATTAATATCAATAAATGAGGTTTTTATGGATCCTTTACCAAACTCAAACTATCATACTATCTAAAGATATCTCATAGATACACAGGACGTATAAGTCCTGTTGCCAGAGACGAACGATGAAGTAAGTCTTCATCGTTCGTCTGCCCTAATCAATCTCTTGGATTCAGGGTCCGAAATTGATTTGTTGAGGGATAGGTGAGCGATAATTTAGCATACATGTTTAAAAACGATGTACGTTCTAATTAAACTATTATAAACAAATCATCGGTAACACCGAGGACGTGACAGGAACAGTTCTAAAGACATATTCTTATAGCTGCGGAATAATAGAGATTCCCTGGTAGTCAAATTTCGGCTCTCATGTCTTGTTTTATTTATTTGACCAATATAACCTGACCTGTCATTGCTTTCACTAACGATTGTACCACGACTGGTCAAAATATAATGGACCTCTATAGGGTATGTAGAAATTTTTACATAATGTTATCTATAATAGGCAGAGAGAACGCATAAAATTACTAAATAAGCTCCGCCCATTTAGGAACATTAAAAACACACCTGGAAAATATCGTATCCCCATTCTTCATCCGTCAATATATTGAGTAACGTGGCTGACTCCATCTGCAAGTATTCGCTAAAAATATACGTGTAAACAATTAGCTACCGTGATCTATGATAATAGCAGGCCGATGGATGGTTCTGGTCATACTAGACGCTGATACTCACGCACGTCATACCTTTTGTTAATATTTCAACATATAATGAATGAAACGTATTGTATAAGCATGGAGCCATAAAACTGGCAATTTCTAAAACTCATGAATCAATCTTGGGAAACCATGAAGCAGTGTGATGAAGCAGTGTGGTGTGTCATGTCGAATAATATTGTTTTGAGCATACCAATGAAAATCTGAGACTTCAATAAGTTTAAGACGTTGTACAAATATTTATATATTTAAAAAAAAAACTCGTAAAATGTTGTCAAACACAAATACTGTTATCAGTTATAATTCTAATCGATTTTTAAGGAGTCATTTTAATTGTTTATTTTTTATTAGACATAGTTTTTTAATTTAAAAATCTCACTAGTCTCTTACCTAACACTATACCGCTTCTATGAGTTGTAAGTAACAGAGAGTTTTGTGGCCCTACATATACAATTGGTGCGATTGAAGAAAACCATGCTCCCCCTCCTGCTATAAATATAAAACGCTCAGCGAACGAGAGAGTCCAACCAATAAATGAATTAATGTTCTGTTGACTGGTAGAAGACTGCTTAAGCGTAAAGGATCCCGCCAGATGGTGCAAACCTAAGCTTAGGCGACTGTCGAGATCCTTTACTGTGGACGATTATTTCATAATGTTTTATTATATACTAAAGGATTCCCGAGCTTATTTTTAGTGAGAAAACCAGACAAAATCTTGGTTTTAATAATAAATAAATTTTGTTAACTTTATCGTAAAAACACATAATTACTTCTTTTAATTACTTTTTTTGTAGTAACGAAACAGCCAAGCTACTTATTTTGACTAAGGCGTAGATTTTGTAAAGATCGGGCTTGTAGAGTTAGGGCGTGTAGTTAGAAGATTGGCTCTACATGAGAGCTGATAAGTTTTTGACAGTGCGAGCCATATGGTCTCGTCTTGACAACACTTTACATGAAAATGTTTTTGGTGGGATCTATTTTTCGCGTCAGTTTCAATGCAACAAAATGTACCACAGCGACTCGTGGCAGGGTACACTTTTTTTTTATTTTTATTTTTTTCCGTGCGGAAATCCCCTCGGATACCACCTGTCGGTGGCATGTCGGACTCGAACTGACTAAAACCGCACGCCGTCTCGGGTACTAATAGCCGGGGAACCAGGTATACCCTAGAAAGGAAGTCCCTGGTGCCCCGACATACCTCGGGTCGGTTTACAATTTCACTTTAGAATAACGAAACGCAGATTCGTGTGTCATTATAATATGATAGGAGAAAGTGGTTAGAAAAAAAGTTTGCAAATAGTAAAATAACACAAGTGTAAGAAATTAGAGTAGTACTCGGACGGCGAAATGTTGAGCGTTCTATTGATAATAATATCACATCGTTCTGTATTGGTGTTAATACGTAGCATTAACACAAGATTACAGCGATAACATTATATTTCTGTAAGTTACCGATATCAAACAGATAACTTTACTTTAATACATACCTACAGCAAGACCGTTTATTAGTTTATTGTATTAAAAACCTGTGTAATAGAGGTAGTAAGCCTTCAAATTGGTATCCTCAATCATCATCAACAGCCTTTAATAGTCTACTGCTGGACATAGGCCTCTCATAGGAGGTTTTGACGCTGGCCAGACGGGTTGGTATAGGGTTTGTGTCAAGTTTTTCATCTCCTTCCGTTGCTGTTGTCTCTAAGTCAAATCTTTCGACACCCACGGGATACATAGGGGTATTGACG